CCTGTTTCCCCTCCACTGTAAGAGCTTTTCTTTTCTGTTTTTTTGTGAGATAATTTACCCCATTCTACCTCTCCCTTTCTTCTTCTCCTAGTATAATCCTCTCTCATCCCTTAATTTTATTCTCCAGATATGACCCCTTAATCTTCAACTCACCCTGTGCCCTCTATCTATATCTATCTATCTATACATACATATAATTTTTTTCCTCCAACTACCCTAATACTGACAAAGTCTCATGAGTTATAAATATCATCTTTCCATGCAGGAATGTAAACAGTTCAATCTTAATAAGTCTCTTATGATTTCTCTTTCCTGTTTACCTCTTCATGTTCCACTTGAGTCCTGTATTTGAAAGTCAAATTTTCTATTCAGCTCTGGTCTTTTCATCAGAATGCTTGAAAGTCCTCTATTTCACTGAATGACCATTTTTTCCCCTGAAGGATTATACTCAGTTTTGCTGGGTAGGTGATTCTTGGTTGTAATCCTATCTCCTTTGCCCTCCATATATTATTTTCCATGCCCTGCGGTCCTTTAATGTAGAAGCTGCTAAATCTTGTGTTATCCTGATTGTGTTTCCACAGTATTTGAATTGTTTCCTTCTGGCAGCTTGTAATATTTTCTCCTTGACCTGGGAACTCTGGAATTTGGCTACAATATTCCTAGGAGTTTTCCTTTGGGGATCTCTTTCAGGAGGAGATCTGTGGATTCTTTCAATTTCTATTTTGCCCTCTGGTTCTAAATATCAGGGCAGTTTTCCTTGATAATTTCTTGAAAGATGATGTCTAGGCTCTTTTTTTGATCATGGCTTTCAGATAGTCCAATAATTTTTAAATTCTCTCTCCTGGATCTATTTTCCAGGTCAGTTGTTTTTCCAATGAGATATTTCACTTTTCATTCTTTTGGATTTGTTTTACAGTGTCTTGATTTCTCATAAAGTCACTAGCTTCCAATTGCTCTATTCTAATTTTTAAGGAAGTATTTTCTTCAGTAATCTTTTGGACTTCCTTTTCCATTTGGCCAATTTTTCTTTTTAGGGCATTTTTCTCCTCATTGGCTTTTTGGACCTCTTTTGCCATTTGGGTGAGGCTATTTTATTAAGGTGTTATTTTCTTCAGTATTTTTTTGGGTCTCCTTTAGCAAGCTGTTGACTTGTTTTTCATGATTTTCTTGCATCACTCTCATTTCTCTTCCCAGTTTTTCCTCTACTTCCTTACTTGCTTCTCAAAATCCCTTTTGAGCTCTTCCAAGGCCTGGGACTGATTCATATTTTTCTTGGAGGCTTTGGATGTAGGAGCTTTGACTTTGTTGTCTTCTTCTGGTTGTATGTTTTGATCTTCTTTGTCACCAAAGTAAGATGGTATAGTCTGACTCTTTTTGCTGCTTGCTCATGATCCCAGCCAATTTGAGTTTTAAACTCTTTGTTAAGGTAAGAGTCTGCTTCCAATGTGGAGAATGTACTGTCCCAAGCTTCAGGGGTTTATACAGCTGTTTTCAGAGATACTTGTAGGGACCTGTAAATTTTCAGTTCTTCCAAGGTGGTATGATAAGGGGTGAGGTGTTTACTCCTTTCCTGGCCTGTGCTCTGGTCTATTAGTGACCATAAGCACTCCTTTCTGTCCTGAACTGTGAAGGTTTCCTCTCACAGCACTACAAGGTCCACCACGCCAGCACTCCTCCTCACCCCAGATCCGCCGCCCAGAACTGTGAGCCAGATCCAAGCACGGGCAAAGCAAGAGATTCCTTCCTCAGCACTGGCAAAGAGATCCCTGCAATCTCCCTCTGATCAGCCACTGGATTCCCCCTCAGTCTGTGGGCCAGAAGCTCAGGACATAGCCACCGCCTGCTCTGGAGCTGGCTCTGACCTAGCTCCTCTCTCAACACTGCAGAAACAGACTTTTCCCACTGACCTTCTAAGTTGTCTTTGGCGTTCGTGGGTGGGGAGTCTTGAAGCCGCCACAGCTGCCTGAGATTCAGTCCTCTGAGGCCTCCTCCAGGTTCACTGCGGCCTGCATGTCCCCACCACACTGCGCTCCTCTTTCCGCCCTGCGCAATATACCTTTCTGATCAACCATCCAGGTTGTCTTGGGCTGGAAATTTGCTTTACTCTGTCTTTTTGTGGGTTATGTTGCTTTAGAATTTGTTTAGAGCCATTTTTATAGGTATTTGGAGGGGTTTGGGGGAGAGCTCAAGTAAGTCACTGCTTTCACTCTGCCATCTTGGCTCCGCCCCCCACCAATGTTCATGTTATTCCTTCTTTAACTCAGTTCCAATGAGAATAAGGTTCCCACACTACTCTCCCTCCACCCTTTCCTCCTCTCCACTGTTACAGTTCTTCCATTCATGCCTATTTTGTATGAGATAATTTGTTCCATTTTATGTATTCCTACCCAGTTTTATCTTTTATTTTTATCTCGTCATAATCAACTCAACCTCAAGCCTTCGATCTATATATACTCTTTTGAACTATGCTTATAATGGCAACATTCTTAAGAGTTACAAATATTTTCCCATGTAAGAAGTAAACAGTTTAACCTTATTAAATCTCTTATAATTAGTCTTTCATGTTTACCTTCTTATGTTTCTCCTGATACTTGTAAGTCAGATTTTCTCTTCAATTCTGATCTTTTCCTCAAAAATACCTGAAAGTTCTCTAATTCATTAAATATCCATTTTTTTCCCCTTGCAGGGTTACACTCAGCTTTGTTGGTAGTTTTTTCTTAGTTGCAAACCCAGCTCCTTTGGTCTTCAGATTATCATATCCCATGCCTTTCAGTCTTGTAATGTAAGTGCTGCTACATATTGTGTTATCCTGATTGTGATACTACTTCCTGTGGTCTCTCCAGGCTGCAAGTGGTAGCTCACCTCTCTGCCATGGAACTGAAATCAGAGACTCTGCTCTCCTGAAAGTGAGCACAAGCAGCAGGGCCTCGCCCTTCTCCCCCACACTCACCTGCATGTGCTCGCTTATCCTCCCACAGCCACAGCCTGTCTCTGGGTCTCATCAATGCCTAGGCCCTGTGTCCTAGCTCTGTGATATTTAAATTGTTTCTTTCTAATTGCTTGTAATATTTTCTACTTCACCTGGGAGCTTTGAAAGTTAGTCATAATGTTCCTGTGAATTTTCATTTTGGGATCTCTTTCAGGTGGTGAGCAGTGTATTTTTTTTTTAAATTTCTCTTTTAGCCTCTAGTTCTAGAACTTCAGGGAAATTTTCCTTAATAATGTGTTGAAATATAGTATCCACACTTTCTTTCTTATCATAACTTTTAAGTAACCTAGTAATTCTATATAATCTCTCCTTGATCTGTTTTCCAGGTCATTCATTTTTCTAATGAGAAATTTTATATTCTCTTCTATTTTTTCATCCTTTTGATTTTGTTTTACTATTTCTTGATGTCTGATGAAGTTATTAGCTTCCCCTTTCCCAATTCTAATTTTTAAGGAGTTATTTTCTTCCATAAGTTTTTGCATCTTTTTCCAATTGGTTCACTTTCTTTTCATAATTTGCTTGTATTACTATTATTTCTTTTCCCAATTTTCTCCCAGCCTTTCATATTTGATTTTCAAAGTCCTTTTCAGCTCTTCCAAGAACTCTTTTTGAGCTTGTGACCATTTTACATTTTTCCTTGATTCTTTATACATAGCTCATTTGACCTCATTATCTTCTTCTGAATTTAAATCCTGATCTTCTCTACCATCATAGTAGCTACCTGTGGTCTCTCCTGTTTACTCATTTTTTTTTTTAAATAGCCTATTTCTTAGTTGTTAACTTTATGTTACAGTCAGGCTCTGCTCCTGGGATATGGAGCATATTACCTCTGGCTTCAGGTTTTGAGCTCCATCTGGGAATCTTTGACTTTGGTACCTCTAGTGTTTTATGATTTGAGGCCAGGTGTGGTCGCTGCTCCTTCAGCTCATGCCTTGTCTGTGAGTGACCACAGGTATGCCCCTCTACCCCTGAGCTATGTGATTAGGGACTCCAGTATCACTGCCACAGTAAAAAAAACTCTTACTTCCTGTGGTCTCTCCAGGCTGCAAGTGGTAGCTCACCTCTCTGCCATGGAACTGAAATCAGAGACTCTGCTCTCCTGAAAGTGAGCACAAGCAGCAGGGCCTCGCCCTTCTCCCCCACACTCACCTGCATGTGCTCGCTTATCCTCCACAGCCACAGCCTGTCTCGAGGTCTCATCAATGCCTAGGCCCTGTGTCCAGCCCCAATACAGGCCACCCTCCTTCCCCTTAAGTATTTTCCTGATCAGCCACCAGACCTCTGTACTGTGCATAGGGCAAGTTAAGGCTGCCCCTAGGGCTTGTTGTTTGTTGATTTGGCTTATATACTTCACTCTGGCCAGACTACCACCTCAAAAGCTCAGATCTCGCCTAACATCCTCCCTGTATAACTGCTTTATCCTGACTTTTAATTATTCAGCCATCTTTCCACCCACATTTTCTTATAAATTACTTACAAGAACTAAGGGATTTGTTGACTGTTTTGAGGGCTTTCTTTCTCTAGTTCTCTTGACTTGTATGGCTAGCAGTGAAGCAAGTGTACTGTCTATTAATTATCTTTTTCTCCCACCATGTGAGTAGCCCATCTTCTTTTGTGGTCACATAATTATCTTGTTAACATCCTTTATTCTGTGTCTTGATGGACCACCTACATAAAGTTATTCATCCAACTGCATTGCTAACTTCACAAAAATACTCTTGGTCAGATTTGTTTTGAATGCTAACATCTGCATCAAAATAAATTAATCAAGGCGTAAAAATAGTGGTCATCATCATTTATGCCCTTATTTAATATTTATTTGAAGTTTATTATTAACTAATGGTTACAAAGAATAGGATTATGAAAGTGACTAGTCAAGAACCAATAATGGCAACAAAATAACCTGAGCAGAAGTTGCGGTTTTAAGAGAAACCTTTTGATTTTCAAATCAGTGATCTCACTGAATTAAGTGCCGTTTGGGGGCCATGTTTCTGTTTTGTTTCATTTTCAGGTCATCTCTTCCTTCTAACTTAGAGATCAAACAATTAGGAGATGGAACTGAAGGAGTATTTGCAATAACTCAGTTGGTCAAGCGAACACAATTTGGTCCATTTGAATCCAGGAGGGTTGCCAAATGGGAGAAGGAATCTGCTTTCCCACTGAAGGTATGAAATCACCAGACATGAGATCTTTTTGCTTTAATGGTGTCAATGCTCTATAAATATAAAAGAATTCTACTAGTTTTTATAAATTCAGTGATGACTCTAAGCATTACATGACTTCATTTTTTAAATTAACTTTTCAAATTTTTCCAGTTTTTATCTAATAAAAATTAAATGTTTTTACACAAAAAAACCCAATATAACCAAAGTTAGAAGGGAAGCTGGGGAAAAAAAATTTTTGTACTAAGTTTCTCTAATAATGTCTTTTTTTTTTTTAACATTTATAGGAAATTGATTCAAATTTATATGAATAGTTGCCATTCCCTAACTGGTAACTGCTATGATCTTATTTCTAAGAAAATAATGCTTCCTTATTTAAAATATACATTTATGCCACAATGATATCGAATATAAACATTTTTCATTACTTAACCTTTCAAAATACTTCCATTTAGGGTAATATGTGCTGAATGATTAGAAAACAATGTTTTTATTTTATGCCTTTGCAGGCTAGATTCATAATATGTTTTTACTGTGTGAGCATGTACATGTAAAAGTAGGGGAATAATATGGGAATAAACATGTGTGCCAGACATTGTGGTAAGTGCTTTAAAAGTATTATCTCATTTGATCCTAACAACAACCATATGAGGTAGATCCCCATTTTACAGTTGAAGAAACTGAGGCAGACAGAAGTTAAGTGAATTACCCACAGTCACACATCTTGCAAGTTTCTGAGGCTGGATTTGAACTTAGCTCTTCCTGAATCTAGGTCCCAGTGTTAGTAGGTAACTTGGTATTGAGTCTTCTTCAACATATCACTTATGTTCATTTTTGCCCTTTTTTGACATATCAGAATAAATAGTGATTATTTGTTTTCGGATAGTTTAGAACCACACAAGGAAGACCCAGGAGCTTCTACCTCATAGCACATTTGCTTACTGTTTGTTGAGTTACATAGCTGTTCTATACCTAGCAGAGGACTGAGTTCAATCTGAGTATCTATGAATTCTTGCTAATTTAAATTCTAATCATTCTACACCAGTTTTTCCTCCAAACTGTAACCTAGGGGACATTAATTCATTTCAGTTTAATTCACGATTGATAAAGCACCTACTATGTGTCAGGCACTATACTAGGCATTAAGGATACAAAGCCAAAATTGAAACAGTCTTTGGAGGAGTTTACATTATACTGGGGGCAAGGAGGGTAGGAAGCAGGAGAGGACAGATTTAACATGCAGAAAAATAAGTAAATTTTAAGTTCAAAGTAATTTTAAGAGGGAGAAAGTATTAATATCTGAAGATAGTTGTGGGGAATAAAAAGAACTTTCCTCCCATAAGGTCACCCAGTGCAAAGGTACCAAGATGAGATCTGTAGTGTCATGTGGGAGGAATAGCAAATAGGTCAGTGTAGCCAGATCAATGTATGTGTGTGTGTGTGTGTGTGTGTGTGTGTGTGTGTGTGTGCGCGCACACGCGCACGCAGTCATGGGAGATGGTGAAGGAGGAGGGAGGAATAAAGTGTAAAAATACTGGAAAAGTAAAAAGATGCCAGATTGTGAAGGGCTTTAAATGCCAAACAGAATTATATATTTTGATCATGAGGGTAATAGGGAGCCACTGGGGCTCCTTGACCAGAGGAGTTAACATAGTCACACCTACATTGTAGAAAATCAACTTAGCTGAATAGAGGATTCATTGGAGTGTGGAAATATCTGAGACTAGGAGACCAACCAGAAGGCAGTTGCAACAGTTCAGGGGAGAGGTGATGAGGTCGTGTGCCACGTAGAGTTGTGTAAGTGGGAGCCTCTCTTCTTGAGACATTTTTAGGGCTTCTAACCCTGCCTTTCCCATTATGCTCAAGACTAGACTCTACAGTTTTAAGTAGAACTATGATTTCATCGATGTGGGTACTTCCTTTAATGATGCAGACTGTAATACATCCATGCCTTATTATCCTGTGAAATTTTCATTTATAGGCTTCCAAAAATTCCTCCCCAGCACAATGGAGATCTTTTTCTTTTGTTCTTTTAATATTCTGTAGTGACTTATAGTGCTCTTAACGGTATAGCTTACAGCCTTTGCCCTTACCACATGACTAATCTACTTCTCTGATCATACATTTCTTGGATGTTATCTTTTATTTCAATTCTTGTGTACAAGTCATTATTGATAAAATGTTTGCTACCTATGTCCAACCTGCATCTTTCCTTTACTTTTGGATATTCCTACTTTTTTTTTTATTCTTTAAGGAATTAAAGGGAAAGAATAGGAAATTTGTCTGAAAAAAAACCTGGATGATTTAGTGAATTGCAAACTTGTTTTAAGTAAACACTGCGATATGGCAACCAACATAGCTAATGCAGTATCAGGCTTAATGAAGAAAGACATAGTGGCCAGAACTAAGGAAGTGATGCTTTTGCTTGCTATACCCTACCTTGGTCAGACCACATCTGGAGTATTATGTTCAATTTGGGGTTCCACGATATAGGAATGATGTTGACAAACTAGAGGGTATTCAGAGGTAGGTGGTCAGGATAGTGACAAAATTGGGGCTATTCACCCCAGAGAAGAGAGGATTTGGGGAAACATGATAGCTGTCATCATGTATGTGAAAGCCTGATATGGGGAAGAGGCATTAGATTTGTTTGACCCATTCACTAAATCATATCCATTCATAGGTGAATAGTATAAAGGCATATATAGGTTAGATATAAGGAAAAACTTCCTAACAACTAGAACTATCCCAAATGGTTTTCCTTGGAAAGTAGGGGACTCCCTTGCTTGCCATACTCCTACCTCTCCCATTCCATTACACAAAGTGACTGAATGATTATTTGTTAAGGACATTGTAGATGTCATTTATCTTTATAATGAGTGTGATGAAGTGATTTTTAGTTTCTTTCAAACTGAGATATTCTGTGATCCTGAGAGCATGGTGTGCCATGGTTTATAGACATGAAGTATTGGTGTTTCCCAGATTAATTTATCCTGCTGTTTTTGTTGTACTCAATTCTGCTCAACCCATTGTCCGTATATAGTCAGTACCATTCCATTGAAGATACATGTACTGTTAAATTAACTCATTAAGCTCCCATCCAGCTATATGCCATTTATAATCTGGGATTTTTTTTTGTTTTGTTTTTGAGGTTTTCTGTGTTCATTGTTAGCCCAGTTTCTTTTGAATGGTTATGAATTTCATTAAGAAGTAGAATGTGCTGAGCCTAACTCAGGTTGGTCTCCTGGTTGTTTAGGTCCAGTACTGGAACAGATAAAGGCACTGGCAAATCATTCAGCAATCAAAACAAGTTTTACTTAACCAGGAAGAACACAACACTGAACCCTTGTAGATAGTCACCTTACCCCTGGCACACCAAAATATGTCTGCTCAGCAGGGCAGGCTGTGGGGACTTGCTGGCTTTGAGACTTCTACCGAGTCTAAAACCCCTGATTCTAGGCAGCCAGCATTTTTGTGCTCTTAGGTAAAGGGAAGCCATGACACTATGGCCTCAAGCCAACAGCTAGAAACTTGAGCTCTGGTCCCTCTGGCCAAATCAAGTCTTGGGAACAGCTTTCTTAACTATCTGGAAAAGAACTAGACTAACATATGGCAGAGTAAGAAGACTTCGTCCTGTCATGTCCCACTTCTTGATGGAAGGTCCTTAAGGAATTTTTGAGGAATTTTCATTATTTAAATGGATTAGGACCATAACTGCATAACCGTAATCTCAGGGATTCCCATCAGATACTAAAGGGAAAAGAGAAAAACAAACAAACAACCTAAATTAGGAATATAAGAAAAACAACAAACACAAAACTCAATGACATTCTAAATGAGTGACTAAATGTGGAAGAAAATGAAAACCAGAAGCTAAGCTTTGCCTCCCTACTCTTAAAGAACCGTATCCTAAAACTCAGTGGTAAGCGCTGTCAAATCTTTGCAGGCCACACTGGATCTCTTGATGTAAAGTAGTAACAATGAACAGGAACAATGATAGGAACATCAGAGATGCAGAACAGATGATGATACTTGTCACAGTCACTTTTTTTGTCACAAGTCAAGCTCATCTGTAATGAAATACCTAGTGGTCATTATGCTTTTGTGTATATACTGTCTTGGTGCTAGTGTTGATAAAAAGAGTAGCCTTGTGCCAGCAATCCCTCAGTATTAGCCCAACAGCCAGGAATCTTTCCTGGGAGCTCCAATGGGGAGATACCAGATTTCTGCTGCTTAAGAGGCTTCTGCTGGGAGCTACTTCCTTCTCTCACAGTACTTGGATAAGGCCTCTCATTCTCTTTCATCCAAGATTCAGGATTACTAAGTCAGTAAGACAGTTTCCTTTATTCCAAATAAATACACATCTACTGTAATTATGATCCAATAATTTCATGCATGCCCCTGTGCTGTTAGAAAGCAAGGCATCTTCCTGACTATCACTCTTAGTTCCCCTGAGCCCTTTCTTGGGAAGGAATTGTCCAAACCATCTTATAGGAAAGTTTCAGTACCAGCCAAGTGAGGGGAACCTGAGGTGTTTGCCCGGCTTATATAGATAGACCCCTCTGTGGGAGTAGGAAGCTTGAGGCTTGGGTGGCTGCATTGGGGAAGGAGCCAGAAGTGAATTATCTCTTTCTAGAGATTGGATCCAAGAAATTCCCAAGCTAGGGAACTCTTCCCCTTCTTAGGGTAGCATTGATTTATCATTGACATGGCATCTGGGAAGTGGGACACTTGATATTATTATCAGTCGGGAACATAATGTCAGTCAGCATTTATTAAGTGCCTACTATGTGCCAGGCTGGGGCAGGTAGGTACCACAGTGGATAGAGTAGCAGACTTATCTTTCCTGAATTCAAATCCAAGCTCAGACACTTACTAGCTGTGTGACCCTGAGCAAGTCACCTAACCCTGTTTGCCTCAGTTTCCTCATCTGTGAGATGAGCTGGAGAAGGAAATGGCAAACTACTCCAGTATCTTTGCCAAGAAAACCCCCAATGGGGTCA